TCAAGACTGCTAAGTGTTCCATGTACAATTTGTTTACTTTCTCTCTTGTCTCTATACCCATCTTGAACATTCTTTTGTTGATTAAATGTTTAACTACTTCTCTACCTGGTTTTCTGGTTAAGATATATTTAAAGATGTTCTGTTTGGTTTTGTCTCTCCCCCATTCACTAAATATATTTTGACATTTCATTTCTGAAGGTGGGAATTTAGTTTGTAGTTTCAGCTATAAGATCTATTCCTTAGGGTGAAACTATTCTGGAGCAACTCAGGTTTCAAAAATAGGTACAGATAGACCTCGACTTAAGACCACAATTGAGTCCAAAATTTCTGTTGGTTAAGTGAGATAGTTTTAAGTGAGTTTTGCCCCATTTTTTTACCTTTCTGGCCACAGTTGTTAAATGTTGTTAAATTAGTAATATGGTTGTAAAGTGGCTTTGCTTGTCAGAAGGTCGCAAAAAGTGATCACATGACTCTGAGACACTGACCATCATAAATATGAATCAGTTGCTAAGGACCTGAATTTTGATTATGTGTCCATGGAGATGCTGCAATGGTGGTAAGCATGAAAGCCAGTCGTAAGTCACTTTTTCAGTGCTATTGTAACTTTGAATGGTCACTAAATGAATGGTTATAAGCTGAGGACTACCTGTAAGTTCCAATAATTTTAGATACCAAATATTTGAATTATATGCTAGAAAATGTTTACACTAACCAAACTCTTCTCAGCATTAATTGCACAGTCATTTCTATTTTGGCTCAATGATTACTTTTTCCATTATAAAATGAAACAAAAGGCAATAGGAGCCCTTTACTTTTGGCTAAGTGTATTCTCTAAACAAATGTATTCTGTTTACATATCCCAATAATTAAACAGTATGATTAAGAACAAAACCCACAATAGTTTTGCAATATCTCATTTAAGAGAAGTTCAGTGAATTCTCATTACAGTAGTAATTTATTTGGTTTATGCTCATTTTCGCCATCTAGTGGCCCATGCGACTTTTAGTCTGAAATTAAAAGATGCCAGGTCTGTTCAAGTATTTGTGATATACTGCAGATCTCTGATATCAGAATTCACAATGGCAATATAGCCATAACATACTGTATATAAACTAAAAATCATTTTTTTCCACCAAGGTTCAAGCATACTTTATATGACTCAAGAAAAAAAACAACCCTGCTCTGGATTCAAAGTACCATGTTGCAAATGGTTGTTTTACTAGTCAAATTTCTCAAAATTTTGGAAATTACTTTTTTTTCCTTGAGAAATTCTAGGGAAAGACTTCTTGTTAAGAACATATACCCACTGTTCTATGCTTCACAGGATTTTACATGCAGAGAAATAAAGAACAAACATATATTCATTTCAATTCCAAATGAAAATTTCAAATTACTAACTAGTAGATCATGTTTATAGAACAACATCGAATTGTGTAAGATAGGTATATACATCTTCAGTTGTGCCATGGAATGTTGTGTGAATTATGCCATGGTGTAACATAGACAACTGAAAAATGGGAGGAGGGTACACAAGCAGATTTAAAAACAAGATGGGGTGAAAATAACGATACATTAAACCTTAGCTCACACATTTTTATAGCGAGTCCCCAGCTGTGCACATTTTAGTTAAAATCTTATTTTTTAAAAAGAGATGTGTGAGCAAAACCTCCCACAGAAATCTCTGCTATACATTTTCTCATACACACTCACATACAGAAGAAGTAATCTGTGTATAGTAGTATACAGGGCTTTTTTTCTCGGAGAAAAGGTGGCGGAACTCAAACCTGGCCACGCCCTCATCAAACCCTAGGACCGCCCCTTTAGAGAACAGGAATGCAAGTAAAATTTGGGAGGGGCTATTTCCGGTGTGGGAGGGGCTATTTCCGGTGCGGCCGGCCCGGAAAAAGGTGCCGGAAC